CGAAATAAAATGTTGATCTTCATTCCGTATCCTGATGTTTTGTTTCTCCTATAACATGATATATCTGACACGTCGGGCGTCGCACTGGCGGAGCTCTTTGTGGGTGTCGGCGCAGTGGAGGTGCTGTGTTGGCGTGGGCGATGAATCCCGCGGATGGCACGCTCCCCTACCCTGTAATTACCCCGTCGCTCCTCACACACAATGGAGCGCGGGGAGCCTGCCAAACAAGACACCTGGATTTCCTGAGACCTCCCCCCGCGAAATGTCGCCGTGCGTTTATCCCGTAGAGGCATAAAGTCGCACACTATGACGCAGGCGCCGGGGGAGCAGTCCGCTTTCTCAGCTGAACTCCGGGAAATGATAAAAAAAAACATCATTTAATCCAGAAATGATTGTTGGGGGGCCCAAGGGCCACACCTTAAACACTAAAGGGCTGCATGTGGCCTTCAGCACCAGACAGTCAATCATTCTCACAAGTGTAAAGGATAGGGATGATCTGATCAGAGTTCCTTTGCTCCTTCATTGACCAATCAGAGGTTGGGGGCGGGCCTTGGACCAGGCTGTGCTGCTTAGCTGCACTGCAGTCTTCAGAGAGGGCCAAGATCTGGGCGTATATACAATATTGTATGGCTCTATAGGGATGTGATCCCCGCAGTCTCCTGGCTCCTTCCAGCCCCTCTTCGCACAAAGGAAATTATGTCACTATATTTGTATATTGTCAGGACGGTAACACCGCGGTCTCGCTGCTGAGCTTGGCATTGGCAGCCCGCGGCGCCGTCTCCTTATTCAGCTCGGCGGTGATGTCATCCTCCTTGACACTTCCATACTCACCCAAATTCCGGATCCTGGGACACTGGTGACCCTGTCCAGTTCTAAAGTTGGATGTACCCAAATCATGTCCCACTTTATGGGTTGGTCCCACCCAGACCACACCCCTAAATATGTGGGGAACTCCCACTTGTGGGCTCTATCCCTGCAATGATGCAGTAACATGATTAAAGGAGAACTATGGGGGTCAGTGTTTTTCCCCATAGTTCTCTTAAGGGTCACGGGAGGACATAAACTAGTGTCTTCCTGTGACCCTAAGCTCAGTATATAGCGGGCTACAGCTCGCGGTATACTGAGACCACCGGAGCCGGAGAGGATCCCGACATTACTGTCGAGATCCACCCAGCTGCGTGATTGACAGCTGGCTCTACCTATCTAGAGGCAGAGCCAGCTGTACCCGCCCCGTCCCCCGTCCGTTCCGCCAGTCAGCGGTGGAGGATCGGAGCGGTGAATCCCTGCAGGGAGCCGTGAGTGACAGTCACCACTCTCTGCAGGGATAGATCGAGAAGTGAGCAAGCGGCTGTATGTGTTCGCTCACTTCCCGATCTATTGAGCCGACGTGTGACAGTCTCATTGTCACAGGTCGGCTAGAACTATGAGGTGAGTGATTTTCCCTCACCTCATAGTTCTCCGTTAAGGTTGATGCTGTGATCCTGGGACGTGGCCCCAGACTCGGCATTGGCAGGACCGAGGGCCAAGATACAGGACTGTCCCAGCAAACCCGGGATAGTTGGCATCTATGGTGATGTGATTCTCTGATGCAGTGTAGGGTTGTCCTAGTGGACGATGGGAGTAGTCAGTCACGTATACATTTGCTGCTTCAGTCCATTAGAGGAGTCACGCAGGAACCGCAGACGCTCCAGAGGATTGTGTCCCCGCCCCTTGCGATCCAGAAACTGGTCTGTGGCCCTTCTTATTGCACAAGGCAAAGTATGCACAGCATTCAAACAGAATTCAGTCTGCTGGCAACAGCTCACCCCAACTCATTTGTAAGCTCAGCTTGCCTAGATACAACCTGAAGCGGTCAGTTAGGAAGCCGACAGATCGAAATCTGATTGTTTGATGTCAATAAAAATCCTCCCGGTTGCTCTTTGCTTTGCTGGAGGTGTTTATGAAAGCTGCAGCATGTCACCGTGGCCCTGCCTGCCATGCTACAGCACAATGACCCTGCAGCGTCTCCGGGCCTTTTGTAAGAATAGTCTGCAGTGCCACCTTCTGGAACATTCCCGGAGTTTCTGCTAGCTGGAAGGAGACTGGAAAGCACATTGAACTTCTATGTATTTGTATGGAGCTCGCCGAGTAAAGTGAGTTCTGAACGTTCAGATGACATAGACTTGTTGGCATGTAGATAGGAGAGTGCAAAGGAGGTAACTGCACCAGGGCCCAGGAGAAAAGGGGGCCCCCCAGTGCAACTTTCTTTGCAAAATATTGTTTTTGGATGATATGGCTTCATATTTATTGCCATGGGGGGCCAACTCCATATTAATAGCCGGTGGGGG